TATTATCCATCAGTGTTGGTAATAATAATGAGGTCTAAATTCAACTGTATCTGGTTCTTACACTGATGACTTTGCATTCCTTTGCAGCATCCATTCGCCAGATGTCTTCTGGTGGCCCTCCAGGATCATCAAGCGAGAACATGCTGTACACACTGATGATTGGTGCTGTGATTGCAGGCGGAAGTGTTTATGTAAGACACAGTTTCATTAAATACATTTCCACATAAATGACTTACAAGACTGTGGTCTTCTGCTTTGAACAATAGGTCATACTTCTTGCTCAGCTGCAGGTTGTGTGTTTAGGATAGAAATGCAATACTGTACTAATGTGCCTCCTGACTTGTTGCAGTCATGTGACCTCTATCAAGAAGTATTCACTGCAGGTATCCATCTTAACAGCTAGTTCACTAATGACACAGTAGAAGCCAGACTGTTGCCCTGTGAGCTCATGACATGGTGTCAAAGTGGAGCTGAGACTGAGTTATCATGCAATGTGGAGAAGTACAACTCTTAAGAGATGAACATATAAATGCTCAGAGCTGCTGAATTCTGCTAAAAACCACAGAAAAGGTACAAAAAAGCAGTCTGCAGCGAAATCACTGGGGGGGACACAACATTACTCTTGCGGGGCTGGGGTAAATGAAAGGTGTAATAAAAAGAACTTTCTACTCAATGACAAACCTACAAGCGTGCAACAGATTTAATTAACAAGGCCAAGAAGGTAAGAGTAGCTACAATGTATCAATACTGGGGAGAGACTGTTTCAAAGTGTATTTCACATTAAGTCTCTCTCAATATAGAGGAAACAAAAACTGCAGTAATTTTGCAAAACTTGAGCCTTGTGAGTGTAAATTATGAACGTATGTGTTCAGTAATAGAGCCCAAGGTGACAAGATAATCAATTTCTACAAGAGTGAAGTGGTCTACTCACAGCTTTGTCCATAGCCTGTATGGGATGTCATCTGTCATCAGTGCTTTTTAGCTCACTTAGCTTGATACTGATGACAAGCATAGCACTGACTGATGCAGTCCTTGATTTCATTGCTTATGTTGGGCCAATAGTGTACTCTTTAGCCTTCCTCAGACTCCAGGCCTTGGTCACTTGAATAGATGCACTTTAGCACCTCTCGTTTCAACTTCTTTGGGATAATGTCTCCATTTCCTTTGTACAATAGGCCATCCTGGGCTGTCCATTCACCTCTGCATGATCAGTGTACTCTTATGATTCCAGGAGAGTCCTTGATGCTTTTAGACTATCCATTCATCAATATGTCTTGTAGATTTGGAGAGTTTCATCTTGTTGGGTAGTTCACTTGTCTATTAAAATCTGAGTCTTTGCTGAATTGGTGACTTCCAGAATGTGTAGCATTGTGGATTCACAACCAAGATTCTTTGTGCACCAAACTCTCTAGTTCACTTTGGGTGTAGAGTGATGGTGAATTGCTCTCCACTGAAAGAGAAATTTGGAGATTGTTGACTTAAAACACATCCTTAAATATCCAAATCAGTAGTTGCAGAGCAGTGCTAGAAAGGATCCACTTGCAGATGACCTTTCTGGTCTCCCCAGCAGGGTGTGGTGATGTGGTTTGAAAACACGCAAACAGGACAGAAATAAATGACTTCTTTTCCGTATGAATTATGTGTAGGTATATGGGAAAGATCTCTGACATTAATGCATTTCAGATTATTAATGTTGTATTATGTTAATGTAGACATACAAAGTTCTCCACAAGGACAAAGCCAGGTACAATGAGAGAGTTGCAGAGATAATGGGACGCCCGAAGAGTGAATGGACAGCTAAGGAGTGGCGACCAAAGCGTGAGTTACTTTCTTATTTTCGTACTCCTCAAGCTGTCAGGTCTTTATTTACTTGGTGCACTTCAGTTTGTTGTCAGCAACTGCATTTTTTGTGGTTGGTTGGCTCGCCGAGCTGGTTCGTTGTTCCGCAGACGTTTCATTACCTTGCTGGGTAACATCATCAGTGCAGTCTCTGATGAAGCGCTGTTGTGTTTTCTCGCCTGGTATTTGAATCCTGGTGCCTGTTGAGCTGGATTACCTCACTTCCAGTTTTCCTTCGCAGTAAAGTATACATAGGGTCTAGCTCTATGTGTTTGTTGTTGGCTTTCTTAGTGGAGAACCAGGCCTCTAGGAATTCCTGTACTTGTCTCTGCTTGGCCAGTCCCAGGATCCTGGTGTTGTCCCAATCGAACTGGTGGCTTTCCTTATCCATGTGGATGGATCTGAGTGAGTATAGGTCGTGTCTTTTTGTTGCTAGCTGATGTTCATGTACTCTTGTGGCTAATTTTCTTCCTGTATGTCCAATGTAGTGTTTGTCGCAGTCTTTGCAGGGAATCTTGTATATGACATTGGTCCTGTCCATAGTGGGTAATGGGTCTTTGGCTCGGATTAGCAGTTGGCGAGCCAAAGACCCACTACCCACGATGGACAGGACCAACGTCATATACAAGATTCCTTGTAAAGACTGCGACAGACACTACATTGGACAGACAGGAAGGAAACTGGTCACAAGAGTACACAAACATCAACTAGCACCAAAAAGACATGACCAATACTCACTCATCTCCATCCACATGGATAAGGAAAACCACCAGTTCGGTTGGGACAACACCAGGATCCTGGGACTGGCCAAGCAGAGACAAGTACAGGAATGCCTAGAAGCCTGGTTCTCCACTGAGAAGGCCATCTACAAACACATAGAGCTAGACCCTATATATACTCCACTGCGAAGGAAAACTGGAAGTGAGATAATCGTGCTCAACGGACACCAGGGTTTAAATAACAGGCGGGAAAACACAACAGCACTTCTTCGGAGGCTGCACTGATGATGTTTCCTAGCAGGGTAATGAAACGTTTACGGAACAATGAAACCGGTTCGGCGAGCCAACCAACCACAACATCCACAACCCGAGTTACAAATCTACTCCACCCTTAGAATTGCATTTTTTGCTTGGCTTATGTGAATTGGGGTAATTTGGTGTTACTTAGACATTTGGTTGGTCTGACTAATCTAAGCTGTGGCATCAACATAAATTGTCTAAAATTTTGTTCACAGAAGGTAAAACTTCAGAGAATTGCAAGTAAGGCTTCTTTTCAGTTGTAACCTACAGAAAGAAATAAAAAGAAAATAAGAAGACTGTCAGGCCCATAGATTGAACCAATATAGTGTGGAGCTGGAGGAACCCAGCTGCTGTGTTGCCTCTGGCTCCAGCATCTGCAGTTCTTGCTATCTCCGAGTGGCTTAACACCTGTAGATTGCCCTGACAATAGACTGGGGACCTATGTACTCTGAGCCAGAGTAATACTTCCACCAGAGAAAGGCAGGAAAACAGAAATTTAGACCTACCTCTCGGAACACTGCTGTTTTGTGGATATTATAAACTTAAGCTACTTGTCCACGCACTTACATTTGTGTATAACCTCTAATATAGTAGAACATCCCAAAGCACTCCACATGAATGTTATCTAACAAAATTTGACACTATATCACATTAGGGGATATCTTAACAGACAACCAAAAGCTGAAGCAAAGAGGTCATTTTTAAGATCCATCGTAAAAGCGAAGAGTGAGAGGTGGAGAGATTTGTTCAAAAATTTCCAGAGCTTAAGATCTTGGCAGTTGAAGACATGGTCAGCAATGTAGAAATAATAAAACGTGGGATGGACAAGGAGGAGAGGAGTAGGAGAATGGTGTGATCTAATGAATGGGAGCCTGCAGACAGGTCAAGAAGAATGGGAAAGATTAGTTTTCCTTGTCACAGCCACTCATCTCCACTTATTAAAGTCCCTTTTAAAGTATGGTACCAAATGGAGGTCAGACCCATGGAGGAGGAAGGGGAGGATAGGGGAGATTTGGAGAGCAAAATGCATAAATGGGTTTTTGTCTGACTGGCATGATTCTGCAGGGATATGTGCTGGGGCCTCAGATTTTTACAAGTTCCCTCAATGATTTGGATATTGGGAATGAACGCATGTGGCTACATCTGCAGACAACACCAAGCTAGGTGGAAAAGTATGTTGTGAAGAAGACATAAGGAAGTTGAAGGTGGATATAGATAGATGAGTGAGTGGGCAAGTATCTGGTAGCTTAACTATAATGTGGGAAAATACAAACTTTGGCATGAAAAAGCAGAGTAATATTTAAACCTAAAATGACTGCAGAATTCTGAAGTGTAGAGGGATACAGGTGTTCTTGTCCATGAGTCAGTATGTAGGTACTCCTATTTTAGATGTTTTTAATCAACCTATTCAGTGATATTATGACACATCTCTGGAGTAGGTGTGACTTGAACCTGGGCGTCTTATCTCAGAAGTAGGGACACTATCAGTGTACCACAAGAGACCCCTGGTAATCCTCCTTACATTTTTTATTAACTATTTTTCCTAATCAACCTCTTCAGTGATGTTATTACATACCTCTGGAGCAGGTGGGACTTGAACCTGGGCCTCCCAGACCAGGGTAGGGATACCACCACTGTGCCACAAGAGTCCTGGTATTTTTTTCTAAAGGCATGTAAATGCATTGCAGGCAGTTCAAATGAGCTTTATAGACTGATATCTGTAACGAGTGGGTTAACTTATGAGGACAGGTTAGACTTAATTGCACGAGAATTTAGAAGAGTGAGGGGTGACATTGTTAAAAAAAAAGTCACTTTCACAGAGTCATAGAGTTATACAGCAGGGAAATAGACCCTTTGGTCCAACTTGTCCATACCAACGAAGTTTCCCAAATTAAACTACAGCCACTTGCCTGCCTTTGGCCCATATCCCTCTAAACTTTTCCTAGTCATGTACTGATCTAAATGTCTTTTAAATGTTGTAACTGTACCTGCATCTGGCAGTTCATTCCACATACGAATCACCGACCATGTGAAAATGTTGCCCCTCAGGTTCCCTTTAAATCTTTCTCCTCTCACCTTAAACATATGCCCCCTACTTTTGAACCAAAACCTAATGTCTATATTTCCTCCACTTTCAATCCAAGTTCATAAATGCTAATGATACATTATAAACCTTTATCATACTTCGAAAAAATATTTTGAAAGTTCTGTTTTGTCAAAAATGACAGAGAGGGAAAAAACTATTAAGTGTCAGTTTGCTTCTGTGGTAACTGATAGATAGACACATATTGAGATGAAATTGGAATTTGATAAATGTGCAAAATTAACATAATGGATTGGTAGCCAGATTTGTACAATGCCCGTTGAGAATTCAAGCTGATAGAAATTTAAATTACAGATATGAAAAGAGCCTGCCTTATTCATAATGTAGGTGTCTGTTGACTTCTAAAAGCCAGGGAAATCAAAATAGCTCCTTTCATATTTCTCTTGGGTAATTTGGAAATTATATTTATGGAGCAAAAATAATAAATGCAAACCACGATACCTCACTGTATTTAAAGTTAACATCAATGTCTTATTACCTGTGGTTCACTGTTTGTGCTGTTTGGTTGACATCCTAACCATTTGGAAAAGGTGCATTCTGGTGCTGCTGAGAGGGTAAGAAGAATTCAGTTAGTTTAAGGAATGTTGAAATTGAAATTGAAATTGCACCATAGTGTAAGAATTTAGAAATATTAATCAAGCTTCTTGCTGAGGAGAGAACAGGTTAAACTACATTCCTTGGTATTGTACCTCCCTTAACATTGAGTCTATTTGACTGAGTGTGACATCAAAGGGCCCTGGCAAAATGCATGTCAATGGGAATGATAAGGGAAACCTTGCTGCTGGATGGAGTTCTACCTGACATAAAAAAGCAATGATTGTAGTTATTGGAGGTCAGTCGTTGCAGCTTCAGGACCTCTCTGCAGGAGTTCCTAACGATAGTGTCCTAAGCCCAACCATCTTCAGCTGCTTCATCAATGACCTTCCCTCCATCATAAGGTTAAAGTGAGGTGTTCACCCAAGATTGCACAATGTTCAGTGCCATTCACAACTCCTCAGATACTGAAGCAGTCAATGTCCAAATGCAGCAAGACCGAGACAATATCTAGACTTGGGCTGACAAGGGGCAAATAAAATTTGCACCACAGAAGTGCCAGGCAATGGACATCTCCAATAAGAAGGAATCTAAACATTGCCCTTGTCATGAAATGGCATTATGATCACCGAATCACCCACTATCAACATCCTGGTCATTACCATTGGCCTGAAACTAATCTGGACTAGCCATTTAAATAATGTCTACAAGAACAGGTCAAAGGCTAGGAATTCTGCAGTAAATAACTCACCTCTTGACAAAGTCAGTCCACCATCTCCAAGGCATAAGTCAGGAATGTGATGGAATACTCCCCACTTACCTGGATGAGAGCAGCTCCAACAATATTCAAGAAGCTCGGCACCACCAGGACAATTTACATGATTGGTGTCACATCGTAAACATCCACTCCTTCCACCACCAGTGCTCAGTAGCATCATCTACAAGATGCGCTGCGGAAATTGACCAAAGCTCCTCAGACAGCACCTTCCAAACCCACTATCACTACGATTTAGAAGGAAAATGGCAGCAGATACATGGGAGCATCGTTACCTGAAAGTTCCATTCACAACTGGTCACCATCGTGACTTGGAAATATACCCCTATTCCTTCGGTACCTCTTGGTCACAAGCATGGAATTCCCTCCCTAATGGCATTGCGAGTCTGTGGACTGCAGAAGTTCAAAGGCAATTCACTACTATCTTCTGAAGGGCAACTAGGGATGGGCAATAGCCTCTGGCCCTGCCAGTGAGGCCAACATCACATATGAATAATTATTATTAAAAAAGAGCCATTAACACTAAAGATACTTTCAATGCTTCGTATTGTTCTTAGCCAAAGCTCCTGGATGATTTTCTGAGAATTTCTTTTTCGCAAGTCTATGGGCTTATTTAACATTTAAAGAGTGAACAGTGCATAGTGTCAAAATATTGTAATTCAAGATAGGAATCTTCTCCCATGCTATTCCAAACAAAGGAAATCAACAAGATAATCAAAAGTTTCCAAATGTTGCTCTTAGACATTGTGTAGTACCTTGACACATGAATGAAAATTCAATTCAGATATCATAAACTAATCTTCAATTGTGAGGATGATGTATGTCAGTGAAATTGAGACTGGCCTGTAGCCACAGAGGGTAAGACTCAGATTTTGATGGATTTTGCTTTGGTCCTTGCAGTTGTGCAATGAGCAGATGTCTCAGGCAAGTCTTTGCCCCCTGAAAATTCTTGCAGCATTTGGATAATAGAGGCTTTGCTACATTAAAATACAAGCATTTAAATAATGTATCATTCGCGCTTCCATTCTGCTAACATACTTATTGCATATCACTTCTCTTCAAAGTATTATCACATATTAGTGAATGGATTATTCAGACGGTTATTACATAAACTGGTACAATAAAAATCTGAGATAACGAAAGCCTGTGTTCCTGTTTTTAAAGAGTTAAATAGCAGTTGCACACAGGTTGTTTGCAATATCATCTAGAGAGGTTAATGATGAGTCTATACAGATTATGTCGTAATTATGAACAGTGGTTTTAGATAGATCCCAGGCATCCATTCAAGCCTCATGCCTTATGTAAATTGGTATTTCCCAAGGCAGTGTCAAATATCTAGGGTGCTCATGATCACTGTATTAAAGTGACTGCTTACATTGTGCTTAATCATATTTATTCAAAGGCCTGAAGTAACATTTCAGATTCAGTTTAGCCCTTCAAGGCCTCCTCTTTTTCTTGGAAGGAAGTTGTATTAGACTGCTTGTACTTCGTTTCACAAACCAATCCATTCAGAGAATGAAAATAAAGATGGTGCAAATTAGAAAAGTACAAATTACAGTGTAAATCACATCTATAATGGGAAATTGTACCTTCCTCCACTTGAAAGTGATCTCTGCTCCACGCAATACTTCGGCATGAACTTCATGCTCCTTTAACTAAAAATGTTAAAATTATTAGCCTTTCATTAACAAATTTCTTTTTCTTTCCCTTGTCCTGTTTATGTTTACAGAAGAAGATGGTGAGTACATATAAATTACTACACATTATTGCTTACAGTTACTAATGTACAGGGTTATGGAAGAATTTTTCATTCTGAGAGGTGATGCAGACAGTTCTGTGATTCTGTAATTTGTTGCATGAAACAATAACAAATCACATTTTCAAATTTTCCTTAAGAACGATGCCCATGCACAACTACAAGCTGCATCTAACTATTCACCATTCTAAAATGGCTTGTGTTAACTCATGGTTTTTTTTGAGATGTTCTAATTACTATGCAGCTAAGTACATGTTTTCAATATAACCTAGACAGTGGCTTGCACTGTATGTAATATTTGTAGTTTAGAATGTGCTAAAACCTTAGCTTCCATTATGAAGGAACTGTAACCCAAATTAGTGTGGGCCGAGAACGTTCCTTTCAAAGAAGAGTGTAAAAATGTAGGATGCACCCAACAAATGTACCACTTGTAACAATCACACCAAAACTGGAACTTGAGCACCCCAAGAAATACGTTTTCAATTAACTGACAGATTAAAGGTAGCAGTGCCAGTCACAATGCACCATTTGAACAATTCCCAGCAAACATAACGTTTCAATGAAGAGCAAAATACTTTGGATGCTGAAGATCTGAAATAAATATACTGGAAACATTCAGAAACATCTACAGAGACGAAAGTAGAGTTACTGTTTCACGTTGTAACCTTTCATCAGAACTGGGAAAAGTTGGAAATGTAATAGTTTTTGTGCAGGCAAAACCGGGGAGGATAGAAAATCATAAATAATAGGAATCTACTAGTTACAGTAATCCTGGGGTGAAGTGCTAAAAATAAATGAGTTCCAGGAAGATTATATTTGTTAAAGCAACTGCATTTCTGTACGATACTCTTGACTCTCTCAAAGTGCGTTGTAAGTACCAGAGATGGGTTCAGTTGCAGTTCTGATGCATGAGATCATTCCGCTTTCCCTGTTGTCAGATTAACCCCTGCCCCAATTCTCCATGAAACAAAAGTAACTTGTAGAATGAGGTGGAAACCCATCAAAAATGGGTCCTGCCCTGAGTGTTTTGTCTGCTTTTCCTCATAGTTTTTCAAATCCAATGCAGGGATTGTGGACTAATTGGGATCATAATGTTTTGAAAATCAAATTAGACAAAAAAAATTCCACACATTAAAAGTTGCTATATACCTTCATGTATGCACAAACATATATGCACACATATAGGTGCAAATATGTGCAAACCTGTTAAATGCACAGAAAATAGCCAGACTCAAGAGTTCCATTACAAAATGCAATGTTCCCTCTTCAATACTCCACTAATATTTTTATTCCACATTCTGTGAATAGTAATCTTTCATACCTGAGATATTAATTTATGTAAGCCATTGATAGGTCAGTCTAGAATCCTAACATCAAGAAGGAGAGAATACTGAATATGGTGGAACAGGATCAACAAAGATAGAAACTATATTTAAAATAATTGTAAAGGAAATGCAGTAGTAAATTTCTTTTGTTCTTCTGTGCTGAGAAATTTAATCTTTTACATTTCTTCTACCCACCCTTCCCTTTCTCTATGGTAATATGTGACTCCAGGATAGATCTAATCTCTGGTTTGATTTTGTTTGAGCAAGTCTGGGCAGTTTGAGAGTAATCCTTCTTGTTCTTCCCTCTTATGTATATTCTCTTGTCTCAGTGTTTATGTTAGATAGTAGCTTTTGTATTTGCTTTAGTTACCTTTTCATCATCGATCATAACCTTTGCAACAAAATGTGCCTGTTTCAATTTTTAGTTCCACAGGACAACAATGGCTAATAATAAATGTGGATCTGTGAGTTCCTTTTCAGAATTTCTTTTATCTTTTATGTACACTTTACAGAGTAAAATGCCAAGAATTCATCAGTCCAAATGTCGATGTATAATTGGATACTGGGGTAGTCCTCTTATGATTTTTGAGTCCCAAAGGGATTTTTATTTTTCTGAATAAGTGCTTACTTACTGCCAGCAATGCATCAAAAATAACTTGTTAATTTTTAACAGAAGTAGAGTTTGACCTGTCCAACCATTAAATGAAATTTTGTATTTGCGGCGGTGAGTAAGAAATTAGAAGCACACCTTTCACAATTACTGCATTTTATTTGGTTAGCCTTTTTGAATGCTAAACATATTTTCTATGTCAATTGTTATAAGTTTTTATGTTTATTCATCTGCTACTGTCTCTTATGCAGTAATCCCTTCCTATAACTCTGTCTGATGGACCACCACGCATATGGCTCCCTTATGATTGGGAGGGTCCATATACTGCAGTCCTTGTAACATGCCCCTTATCATGATATTCCTCATTTAACTCCCAGAGATCTTTTACGTGACAATAAAAGGATATTGTATTTGTATTGTAAAGAGGGGAATTACTGTTGTCAGTGTTGTTTGCTGTTTTGTTCTTTCTCTCCTGTTCTGAGTTTAGGCTAATGATTGTCATTTTTTCTTTAATGAATTGCATGCCTGTAGCATGGCAGATTAATTTGGCATGGAGGCTTATAAGTGATTTGCTTTTGTATTTTTGACTTAGATAGGAGACTTCACCCCAGTCATCATTATGAATAAACTTAAAGTGATCTACTATTGTGAATGTATGCCTGCTGATGCAGTGCTGTTTGCCATGGGGGATTTTAGCATGACATTCATCAGGATCTTCGTGTTGCAATTATCTCAAGTCTCAACTTTGACAATTATTTTGAGTATAACAAAATTTCCCTCCTTTCCTCCAAATCGCTGTCCTCATCTTCTCTACATGCTGCATCTTGTCACACCAAGGCTCAATTGACACATGCTGCCCTGTGACACCTTGTCCAAATAGCCATTCTTCATGAGTGAGTGCAGGCTGAGCATTAGCAGTGATGATAATCTCTTACAGTATAATGAACGTCACAGCTAATTGTGGTCATGACCTCAACTGTCTTCTCCTTCACCCCACCCCCCAACAAATTCCATTCTTGGGAAAATTGATCAATATTGATTAGTGGGGTAGGGAGGATGGGGAATTAGATTGATTGACTGATTTATTCTGTATTTTTGATCCAGCAGAGCTGAGAGCAGCAACAGCTTCGCCTGAAGTTTGCTAATGCAGCACTGGTAATATGTGTTAGTAACAGATCATAGTGACCAGAGCAGCACCCAGATTATTTGAACAGCAGGTGTACTTCACTGTGGATTCTGTATACAGCATTGCATCAGTCTGACTGGGGCAAAGTTCCTCTTTAAGTGTAGCTAATACAGAGCCTGGATATATTTTGACATGGCGATGTTGATCTGTTGTTAGAATCGGTTGAAGTCCAGTTTCCTGACGTTGTTGGAACGAGTGAAGAGGCCTCGGAGTCAGCAACAGAAGAGGTCAAAATTCCTACAGCTGAAAGTGTCGTGCAAGCTGAAAGTTCTGCACTGGTTGTAGAACCTAATGAGAGCCCATTGGAGGGCAAGGCTGTTGTGGAAAAGGCAGTGATAGAAGTTCTGCCCCCGCCTGCTTCAGTCAAAGGTTAAAAACCTTTCCAGCCAGAAATCATAAATTTCAATAGAAATATATCATTGGCTCATCTTTTGCTCAGTAGATGGATGTTCCCTTTGTCAGCCTACGCAGATTCATTTTACCTATAACATTAGCTAATGCAATTTCTCTTCCCCACAGAGTCCACTCCTGACAAAAATAATATGATGCCCTAAATAAATCTAACCAAAGAATTAAGAGTATATAGCAATAGTTAAGAAAAACATAGCAAAACATTCATAAATCAAATTGACTGGATAATTAACAATCAGGATACATTATAATGGTATCAGCGCTTTAATTTGAAAATTCTTTTGAAACTGATTTATATTTTTATGATCTAAATGCAGAAAATATGTCCATGTGTGGAATAATGTTCTAAATAATTCAAAACAAAAATTCAATATATGTTCATAATTACTTTTCTGCATTTTATAATTTTCTTCAATTGAGTGATAAGATCAGGGTGAATCATGTGAATTATTTTTTAACAATTTTGTGAAATACAGCTGTAGTAGGCTGACAATGGAAGAATAATAATTTACCTCCTCTTGAATATTATGAAGTTTCCCTGGCTAGTGTTCATTTTTAGTGATAGAGACTAATATACAAACTAAATTATTTGTATGGATTAATAATCTTCAGCATGAAATACAAGCACCGACACACTGACCACTTTGGAGATTATCTCTTAATCATCATTCTATGGCTTTCAATGTGAGCACTTGTAAAATTTCCTATTGATAACTTGAACTATTTCCTACATTTATTAATGTGCCCTCCTACACACTCCTTGCACATACTATTTTAATATGACATTTAGAACCTAATTATGATATTTTTATTTATGATGTGTACTATTCCAAAAATATATTGTGTGTAGAATTTATTCCATAAACTATCTTAAACTATGGACATGCTATTTATATTGGACAGTTGAAATATTTACCTGCTTGTATCAATATATAAGCTTTCATCATCCTGTACATATAGTTCAAGTGGACAATAGGTCTAAATTGTTACAATTGCACTGTATAATAATAGTGTAAGGAATAATAATAGCCTACATTTTGATGTTAACGTGGTGAGCTACTGGTTCTTGCCATTATATGAGCATGGAACAGCAATTTAAGGGGCATGCCAAATGCCTTTTTAGAGAGACCTGGGGGTTCAGGTATATCATTCTTTGAAAATTGTGTCACAGATAGACAGGATGGTTAAGAGGCATTTAGGATGCCTGCCTTCAATGCTCAAACCTTTGAGAATAGGAGTTGGGACGTCATGTTGAGGGTGTACAGGGCAATGGGGAGGTCTCCTCTGGAGTACTGTGTGTAGTTCTGCTCGCTGTGTAGGAAGGATATTATTAAACTGGAAAGGGTTCAGGAAAGATTTATCAGGATGTTGCAGTAATGGAGAATTTGAGTTATAAAAATAGGCTGGGACTTTTTTCATTAGAGCATAGGAGGTTGAGGGATGACCTAATGGAGGTTTATAAAATCATGAGGGGCATGGCTAAGGTGAATAGCAAAGGTCTTTTCCTAAGCTGGGGGAGTTCAAAACTATGGGGCATATTTTTAAGGTGAGAGGAGAAAGACTTGAAAAGGACATGAGTAGCAACTATTTTAGACAGAGAGCGGTTAGTGTGTGGAATGAATTGTCAGATGAAGTGGTGGATGCAGGTACAGTTGCAACATTCAAAAGACATTTGGATAAGTACATGAATAGAAAAGGTTTGGTGGGATATAGGCCAAATGAGGGCGTGTGGACTAGTTTAGTTTGGGAACATGGTCACCATGGACTAGTTCGACTGAAGGGTCTGTTTCCATACTATATGACTCATTATGTCATCTTCACAACATATTTTCTTACTTATGTATGCATCATCTGTAAATTTAGCCACCATACCTTTGCTCCTCTCATTTAAGTCCTCGAAGTAAAGTGTAAAATGTTGAAGGCCCAACACAAATGTGGGACCCTCCTCTACTTACCCTGCAAATCTGAAAAAGACCCATTTATGCACACACTTTTTTTCCATCAGCCAGCTCATCTTCTGTCCATGCTAGTATATTACCCAGTATACCATGAGATTTCACTTTGCACAATAATTTTTTATGTGGAATATTGTTGAATGCTTTCTGGAAATCCAACTGCAGTATATCAACAGACTCTTCTTTATCCAAATCACATATTACTCCTTAAATTTCCAATGATAGGGGATTTCCATTTCACGAAAATCCATGCCAACTCTTCCCAATTATCTTGAGTTTTCCCACATTGCCCAGTTGCAACCTCCTTAATGATCAATTCTAACACCTTCCCAATTCAGACATCAAACTAACCAGCCCATAGTTTCTTGTTTTCTGTCTTCCTCCTTTCTTGAATATGGGGGTTATATTTCCCATTTCTAATGGAACTTTTCCAAAATCTAACAAGTTTTGAAAAATTAACATCAACACATCGACTACCTGATGAGCTACCTCTTTTAAGACACTTGGGTAAAGTACATCAAGCCCTGAAAACTTATCAACCACCAGCTCCATCAATTTGTTCGGTACTGCTTCTCTAGTGATTTGATTTCACCAAATTCCTGTCTTCCTTTGACCTCCTGATTTACAGGTATTTCTGGGATTTTTTTTGTATCCTCTATTGTGCAGACAGAAGCAAAATATTATTCTTTACATCTACTACTTTATTGGCACTATTAACTCTCCATTCTCACCCTCTGGAGGACCTATGCTCACATTACTTACTCCTTCCCTTTCTAGATTACTGCAGAAAGTCGTGTCATCTGTTTTTACATTTCTCGCCAGCTTCCTCTCATGCTGTGTTGATATTAAATAGTAGCTTTAGAATGCAGACTTTCCACCACAAATCTTAACCATTGCAGCAAGTTTGATAATAAATACGGAATTGTAATTTCCTTTTCAGAATGTTTTGGGTTTTGTTTGTTATTCTACACTTTGTAGTGTAAGATGGTAAGGATCCATCCACACAAAGCAGGATGCCAGGGATAGTTCTCTCGCTTTTCTCTTCCAGTTCCATTGGGAATGATCTTTTTCCCAAAATGACTGATTGCTTGTGAAGTTTACGAAATGAAATAAAAAATAATTACTTTGCAACAGAGGGAGAGTTAGCAAACCTGTTCAGCAAAAATATTTAAATGACAGATATGAACAAAACAATACAAGCAAATAATTAAGAATCGAAAGAACTGCGAATGCTGTAAATCAGAAACAAAAACAGAAGTTGCTGGAAAAGCTCAGCAGGTCCGGCAGCATCTGTGAAGGAAAAAATCAGAGTTAACGTTTTGGGTCGAGTGATCCTTCCTCAGAACACTAAAGCAAATATTTAACTTATTTTGAAAGCCATATATATCTCCCCTCCACTATTTGCTGGCTTAAATCATCTCCATGAGTTGCTGAGTAATGCATTGGAGGATCTAATCAATGGCACTGGGGCTGACTTTTATGTCCATCTAATGCTTTGGCTGAGGCCAGATAATGCAGCACTGAATTAGATAACAATATGGGACCTCTGGGCTGTATGGTTTTGAATGAATTACTGCAAGTTGGCCTTGACTTTATACCACAATGTAATATGGGTGACAAAAAAATCAGTAACCTGTTCTACTTGTCTCTTTGTTCTCATTGACAAAGTTAAAATGAAAATCTGCTCCTTTATTCTTCAAAATATTCTGCTCCAAGCATTCATTCTGAATGGGGTAAAGTTTCACTTTAAGTTTAGCTAATACTGTGTCGTGATATATTTTGACATGATTGTGTTGAACTATGATTAGAACCAGATGATGACCGGTCTGTTGAGATGGTTGAAGCTTCTGAAGAGGCTACAGAGTCAGGAATAGAAGAAATCAAAGTCCCCACAGCTGACAGCATCGAGCAACCTCATAGCCCTTCAACAGTTGTAGAACCTACAGAGATCCAGCTAGAGCGGGAGACCAAGACGTCGATTGCAGATCAAAAGGATGAGTTACAATCTAATGAAATCAAAGGTTAAACAATCCCTCTTGAAATGAATTTTATACCTAAGTTGAAGTATATGATGATCCTGGGTTATTTAAATCTCCATCTCACCCTTGTCCTCACTCCTTCTGACTTTACAGCTCTTCTGTTCTCGCTCAATATAAATACTCCTTTTCCTGGCCATTCCTTTGACTTTGCTTTCGCACATGGTCTGTCTATTCTCCTCATCTGAATCACTTGCATGACTGCATCTCTACACTTTCTTTTTATCCCTTGACTGCTCACATTCCCCCTTCCAACTGTAGTTTTTTGTATGTTAGCCCTTGGATACTTCCACAAGTCACAGACAGATTCATTTTCACGCACCAGCTAGCTAGCATTTAGCCCTCCATTTGCTCCGGCAGTTCTGCAGCTTTCAGTTTGCCCAACAAGCCTTCTTGTCAGCTTTTGAAGCCCTAGTTCATGCCAAAACATGTATTCCCTCCCACCCTGGTTTTTTCCTTTAGTACATGCCTTATCGTCACTCCCATAAGTTCAAAAGATGCAGAATTGAGCACATATGGTGCTTTGAAAGAGTTAGCTGTTTATCATCCTGCTCTTTGCCAAAACTGTGCACTGTTCCAACAACAAGGCATTTATGGATCACCTTGCCGTTGAAAATATTCCAAGGATCTATAGCAACAGTGTTACCAAACAAAATTTCACCCTGAACCAGGAGATATGGGGCAGATGACCAAACCTTTGGTTTGAAAAAAGTTAAGTTGAAGGAGTGTCTTAAAACCCAAAGATGTGCAGTTGAGGTGGATTGGCCATGTTAAATTGCCCCATAGTGTCCAGGGATGTGCAAGCTGGGTGGGTAAGCCATGGGAAATGCAGGGTTACAGGGATGGAGTAAGGAAGTTGATCTGGGTGGGATGCTGTTCGGAGGGTCCGTGTGGATTTGATGGCCTGAATGGCCTGCTTCCGCACTGTAGGGATTCTGTGATTCTAGAGGAAACAACAGAGTCAGAGAGATTTAGGAGAGCTTGAATTAGAGGGCAGCAGATGTTTTGGCGAGTTTTTGAGCTGGTGGGGATTATATCGATTCATGGGGTGTAGTCATGAAAGGCCACTATGTCCCAACAAAACTCATTTAATCATCAGCGACACCCCCATCACAAACTCTGGTTCCATCCTATCAAATTCCAATTCCTGCTCTCAAATGACCGTCTCGGGTTGAATCAGACCATTTGCAGCCTTGACATCTATTTAACCCTGAACTGCACTTCCAACTTCATACCTTCACTATTACAAAGAGTACCCCTCCTTTCCACTTACATAACATGACTTATATCTGCCCACCTCAGCTTATCTGTTACTGAAACCCTCACGCATGCTTTTGTTATCACCACATTTGAGAATGGCTATGCTCTCCTGGTCAGTCTCCCAACTTCCATTCTACAAAAGCTTGGGCTCATTTAAAGTTCTTGTCTGCATTTGAATGCACACAGGATCCTGCTCACCCATTGACCCGATATTCACCAACCTGTAAAGGTTCCCTGTCCATCAGTGCCTCAAATTTAAAGTTCTCAGCTTCAGTTTCAAATTTCTCCACACTCTTGCCCCTCTTTATCTCGCTCACCTTCTCGAGATCTATACACCTCCAAGAACTCTGAGATACTCGCAATCTGGACTCTTTTCTACCTTCTACTCCTGTTGCCCCACAATTGGTGGCCATATTCTTGATGGATTAGGCACTTAGTTCTGAAAGTCACTTCCTGAAGCTCCCTGCCACCATCTGTTTCCTTCCTTAAGACTGTCTTCAAAATGTTCCTCTTCGATGAAGTTTTCTCACATGTCTGAATGATGTCTTTTTTAGCTTGATGTCAGCTTTTGACTTATGAGCATGTGGTAGAGTATCTGATTAGTGTGAGGTGGGATAATTTGGCCACTTTAACCTAACATCTACTGTCACCTAACAGCTACTGAAAAGTTTGAATATTATTCAAAATCACCAGAAGTTCTAATGCGATGCTATTGTAAGGACATGACCGGAATGGTCTGAGGATGTTTATTCCAGTTTCAAGGGACAGATTCTGTACTGGGCTCACTGGGAGCTTCCCCCTGCTATGATGAACAAACACAATGTAAAATTCTGAATTATGTATCTTAATAAGCATCAGATTTACTACATTAAACTCTTAGTTCTACTGCCTTGTATGTCTTATCTGTCCATCAGAATGGTCGGGATGTTTCAATGCCCCAAAGTAATCTCCGCATGATTGTAAGATAACAAGGTGTAGAGCTGGATGAACACAGCAGGCCAGGCAGCATCAGAGGAGCAGGAAGGCTGATGTTTCGGGCCTAGACCCTTCTTCAGATTCTCCAGCATCTGCAGTTCCTACTATCTCCGCATGATTATGCTTTGTTTAAGCCGATTAAGTGACCTACCCGAAGCTGGCGTATCAATGCTGGCTTGTACAGAAAACATTCTTGCGCAGCAAGGAAACTCTGAATTCCTCAGTATCACATAACATTGAAATAACCGACACTTCTATGAAAACTAAGGGTTTTCATCTGAATATAAGAACTGACGAACCAAGAGCAGGAGTAGACCGGGCAGTCCCATGAGCCTGCTCTGTTTTTCAGTAAGATCAACCTCAACTTTATATTCCTGCCTGTTGAAGTGTGTTTCAGAATAACCGCAGAAACTAAGACACGGTTTCAATCATTTATTGTACATTCAAGAGCCACCTTGGGCAATCAAAGTGAACTGTCATTGACCCAGTGAGATTGATTCATAAACCCCAGTTAAGCATGTTGGCTCACAAAATTTACAAAGAATGCAATTATATTTACAAATAACTCATGAACTGCTTGTATCATCAAAGAACTGATTACCCTTAATGAAGCACTGATTGCATTAACAAAGAACTGATGAACTGTGTGTGTTAATTAAGAACAGTTTGCACTAATGGTGTAAGTTCACAGCACTTCACAAGCAGCTAACTCAATGTCTGTTACCTTGTTGCTAAGCTGTTGTTGGATCAACTTAATATTCTCTTGTGTTCCCCAGTGAGATTAATCCTCTGTCTAAACTTTGCTAATTTCTATATTATTTTCTAAATTAGCACTATACCTGTGAAACTTGCTGACCTTTCCCTTAACACTGCTCCCCATATCCCAAGAATCCTCTTTGGTACGGGGGGGGATGGGGGTGGGGGTGGGGGGGAGCGGTGGGGGATAGTGTGGGAAACAGCTTCTCACCATCCACCCCGTCAAGCCCAGTCAAAATCGATATGTATCAATGGTGTCTAAATTTATCAATTTGTGTCTCATTCTTTCAGTCTCTCCTTACAGGATAAGCCTATCAACTCAGATATCAATCTAGCGAACCTTTACTTGCAACCCCTCTGAGGCATATCCTTCCTTGGGAATGGAGACCAATGGAAAACCAAGGAATTCAGAGGTCTAAAAAGGGCCATGAAATGTCTTTTGGCAAACAGGATTAAGGAAATTCCCAAGGCGTTTCATACATATATAAAGAGTAAGAGGGTAACTAAGGAAAAGGTAGGTCCACTCATGGTGAAGGAGGGAATTTATGCATGGAGCCAGCGGAAGTGGGTGAGGTCGTTAATGAATGCTTTCCATCAATATTCACAAAAAGGACATGGTGGATGGTGAGTCTACAGAGGGGTATGTTAATTTTCTAGACCACGCCAGTCTAAAAAAGATGTTGGGTATTTTGAAAAGAATTAAGGTAGATAAGTCCCCAGGACTTAATGGGATCTATCCCAGAATACTGAGGGAGGCTGGTGAGGAAATTTCTGGGGCCTTGTATGAAATCTTTGTTACAGGAGAAGTCCCAGAGGACTGGAGAAAAGCTAGTGTTGTTTCTTTGTTTCAGGAGGGCAACAGGAATAATGCGAGAAATTACAGACTGGTGAGTCTTATGCCAGTGATAAGGAAATTATTGGAGAAGATTCTTAGGGGCAGGATTTGTTCACATTGGGAAAAAATATGGATTTATTAGCGATAGGTAGCTTGGCTTAATGCAGGGAAGGTTGCGTCTCACAAACTTGATTGAGTTTTTTGAGGAAGTGACAAGATGATTGATGAGGGCAGGGTGGTCAATGTCATCTATTTGTACTTTAGTTAGGCCTTTGACAAGGTCCCTCATAGCAGGCTGATACAAAAGGTGAAGCCACATGGGATCAGCAGTGAGGTGGTAAGATGGGTATAGAACTGGCTCAGTCTTGGAAAACAGAGAGTAGGAGTGGAAAGGTATTTTTTAGATTGGAGATCTGTTACCACTGGTGTTTGTAGGGATCAGTGCTGGGACCCCTGTTGTTTATTATATATATTTATGTTTATATATGACTTGGAGGAGAATGAGGTGGCCTGATTTAGAAAGTTTGCAGATGACACAAGAATTGGAGGAGCTGTGGATAGTGAGGAGGATTGCCAGAGGATACAGCAGGATATAGATGGAGACTTGAGTAGAGAAATGGCAGATGGAATTTAATCCAGACAAATATGAGGTGATGCATTTTGGGAGATCTAATGCAGGAGGAAAGTATACAGTAAATGGCAGAACCATCAACATACAGAGGGATCTAGGCATACAGTTCCACAGTTCCCTGAAAGTGACAACTCAAGTGAATAAGGTGGTCAGGAAGACATATGCATGCATGCCTTTATTGGTTGGGGCATTTAGTATGAGGATTGACAGGTCATATTGCAGCTGTATAAAACTTTAGTTAGGCCACATTTAGAATAATGTGTACAGTTCTGGTCACCAAACTACCAGATGGATGTGGAGAGGCTACTGAAACAGTTTACCAGGATGTTACCAGGTTTGGAGAGTATTAGCTATGAGGAGAGATTGGCCAAACTTGGTTTGTTTTCACTTGAGTGTCAAAGGATTGGGGGTGGTCTGATAGAAGTGTATAAAATTATGAGAGGCATGGATAGAACAATTGTCAGTCTTTTTCCCACGGTAGAAATGTTAATTTCTTGGGACATAGGTTTAAGGTAAAGGATGTAAGTTTAAAGGAGATGTGAGAAGTAAGTTTTTTTACACAGTGCCTGGAATGCGCTGCCAGAGGAGGTGGTGAAGGTGGATACAATAGCAAAATTTGAGAGGCAGCTTGACAGATACATGAATAGGCTGGAAATAGAGGGATATGGATAGCTTAGAGGCAAAAGTTTTTTAGTTTAGAAAGGCATCATGTGTTAATGCTGTCTTGGTGGGCTGAAGGGCCTGTTCCTGTGCTGTCCTATTCCTTGTTCGAAGCTGTACACAGTAGTGCTGCTGTCATCTCGCTAAAGCCGTGTACAATTGTAGCAAGACCGCCTTAACAACACACATTTCTTCCTAATTGCTTATGCCTACCTGTTAGCTTTCTGTGTTCTGCATACAAGGACACTCAATTCCCTCAGCACACCAACTATTATAGTTTTAGATGTGGCCACTACAACACAAATGTAGACCAAGTCGTAAAAAGAGTTAGTAATAAAGGAAAAATGTTATGGATGCAATAGGTACATCAGGCCTTGTTATCAGGGGAGGCGATGGCCTAGTGGTATTATCACTGGACTTTTAATCCAGAGACCCAGATAATGTTCTGGGACCTGGGTTTGAATCCTGCCACGGCAGATGGTGGAATTTGAGTACAATAAGTATCTAGAATTAAGAGTCTAATGATGACCCTGAATCCGTTGCTGATTGTCAGAGGGGAAAACCCGTCTGGTTCACTAATGTCCTTTCGGGAAGGAAATTGCCATTCTTACCTGGTCTGGTCTACATGTGACTCCAGACCCACAGCAATGTGGTTGACTGTCAACTGCCCTCTGGGCAATTAGGGATGGGCAAGAAATGCTGCCTGGTCAGTGATACTCTCATCCCGTGAATGAATAAGAGAAAAAAAAGGCAGTGTTAGAATAAACCTATGTAAAGGAAAACAGATTGAAAACGTTTGCTTGATCACATATATTTTACAGCAGTGGATTTAGGGACTAATTTACTAGAATTGATAAGGATCTGCGCCCTGAGAGCCCTGAGTAGCTCTATAGAGAACAATTTGCTGTCCTCTCTCAGGAAATCAGTGTTCTTCCTGCAACCTCTACCACTTCACCAGTGGCCTTGCTCTCATCTTCAACCAACTGGTCTGTACTGCTGCCAAGCCATGCTGTGCAGCTTTCATATGGGGTGTTCTAGCCTGAGCACTGTTTAAGGTAATTCTCCAAGGCCATCTGTGGTCTCCTCCGTTGAAAATTAGCAGCCTTTCCATTGCTCATGCTGCAGTTACTGGGGTAACAAGACATAGGAGAACAAGTATAGACAGAAGCACACAGAAGCCAAGCAGCCTGGGAAAACAGTGGTGACTTGCATGTAAGTTGGAAAGATTTAATTTCAAAGTTTGGTATAGAATGTTTATTTTGTGATAGCCTGAATGATCGCACACAATGTGAGGGTCAGTAAGGTGGGGAACTGTTGGTGAGTGGGAAATTGAGGTTTCTGTTCCTGATATCACCCCTGGTGATCTGTTCATGGAGACCCGATGCAGAAAAGGCTATCTGGGTTTCCTTTTCCTGCTCCTCACATTTTTCATCATGTGGCTGCTCTTGAACTGCTTATTGTATAATTAGTGGAAAGGGACAGTTAAACTTCTAATGATGAGTTTGTGCAACCTGCAGAAAGTCACCACAACCTTGACACCAGCTCCTTCTAGTATTTCAGGGCTCCTCAGGTGCGGTCAAGATGGAGCAAGTGTTGCTTTAGCACCCTGGTGGTCTGCCGCTGCATATTTTCTGAGGCAGCAGGTTTCTTACTGTCTGCATGGGTTGTACACCAGATTCATCAGATGTGTAATCAGTGGGTGATCCGTGTCACTCTTTGATATGCCGTACACTACCAGAGAACATGACTTTATTGATGATCTACATGGTTTTCTGCCTGTGGTCAAACAGCAGATGGATGGTGAGGGAATGGAGTCTATCTTTATTGCCAGAGTACAGCGTTGATATTTGGTGGCACTGATTATATATGACCTCTAGCTAACAGCCCTTTTCTAACCCCTCCTACCCCTTCCTGCTCTGTGTGACCTCAGTTCGTTCTCCAGGCCATGCCTTATCCTACCAAACTAGTGCATCTGTGATTTGAAACAGCTGGCTTGTTCAGAGGTTTTAAAGTTATCAACGAAACATCTTCAGCACTAGCCACATCACTTCATGTAGACTTTTTCCAAGTTGAAATAGTGATACAAAGCACCAAATACTTCGAAAAACAAAACAAAAAGCCAGAAGAAATCAATCTGCAAATAATCTGCAAGCTGTTAAATGGTGCAGGTGGAGGTCTCTCCTGCTATTGAATGCAGGTTCAGCTGTTAGAATGCATTAACTGGAATA